CTGAACTAAAGTTTCACCCGTCATGTTCCATACAGAAACCACTTCATCTGAAATGACTCTCTATTAATTCAACTACAGTTTCCTGGAGATTCAGGTACAGCTTCTGTGAGCATCACCCCCTGACCCCTGCCTCCTGGTGATCACCTCCTTGTGCAGTCCCCACCCCCCCGAATGTGGGTAAACTTGTGCCTTGCTTCTAACCAAGAAAATACTACAAACGGGATGCCACCGTCACGATCAGGCTACATGAGGTAGTCACACCTTGCTGGCCAACTCCTGCTGGGTCTGATGAAGCAAACTGCCAGGCGACAGAGGCTCACGCGGGAAGGGACTGCGGCTCTCAGTCCGGAAACCCTGGAGGAAATGATCCTGCCAACCACGGGAGTGAACTCAGAAGTAGGTCCTTCTTCCCTAGGTGAGCCTTCAGGTGACACCTGGCCCACAGAAAGGGGGAGCTAATAAAAGTGTGTGCTTTCAAGCCAGTAAGTTTTGGGCTGACTTGTTACGTAAAATTCTGAGATCTATGGCCTAGATAAGTGAGAAAAACATGAAAAGAAACAGACTTGCCAATGACCTCGCTTTGAAGGTGAAGAACACCAGGAGTTCAGTTTTAGACGTACTGAGTTTGACGTAACAGTCACAGATTCTCATCCATGACAGAAATGAGAGCATGAGGCTCAGAAAAGAAAACAAGCTGGAGAGACTCACTCATAACCGTGACGACCACCAATCAATCACTTGCCGCCAGCTCCACAAGCACCAAGCTCAGTGCACCCTGTCATAATCTGGGTGGAAGGCACGATTACTGTATTAGCATTTTAGAGACGAGGTCCCTGAGGCTTAGACAGTTTCAGAGCCTGCCCAGGGTCAGATAACTGATCACCAGCAGCCAGGATCTGAGCCCAGATCTGCTAACCGAGAGCTCAAGTTTTCATGCTCTACTGACTATTATTACAGATCGAAGGCTGAACAAAGAGTAGTTATTAAATGACGTCTGAGGAAAAAAATTGCCAATTAAAAAAAAAATCCCATGTTCACAGGGAGAAGAAAACTAGTCAAAGTGTCAGGAGTGGGTGAAAAGAGGAGGAGAGCCAGGATAGAGCAGAACCACAAAACCCACGGAGGCACCACACGCACACTTGCTGTGTGCCTGTCCCGATCTGAGGCCTGGTCTCAGAGCCCCCCAATGATTCCTCAAAAGCTGTATGAAGTGGGTCCTGCTAACACCCCCACTTTATAGATGGGAACTGAGTCACAGACAGGCTGGTACAATTATATAGCTGGTAAGCAAGGGAGTCAAGATGTGAATCCAGGCAGTCCTGTAATCCAAGCCCACATTTTAAACCACGAGGCTCTAGGAGAGTCAGAGACTGGCCTCCCAATACTTAAAAAGATTGAACAAAGGTGATTTTCTTTTGTTATACTGAGCAATGAAATGGGCCAATATTTGGAAGATCTGCATAATTCCGTGAACTAGTATTTTCCAAATGACCAGAGCTCGATGTCACAAAATCAGGCATGCATAAAGGAGCCTTTCCAAGTGCAGGGGAGACCAATGAACCGGCATCTAACGGGAGTGTGGAAAGCTCACTGATCCAGTTTCAGTTTCCACACTGCAACTGGCCTTTAAGAAACTCCCACTTATGAGTGGTTCGGGTGTAGCATCAGAAGCAAGTTTCCAGAAAAAATACTCCTCCCTCTTCCAACCACCTACTTGTGTGAGGTCAGGTTTTCTTCAACCGCAACAGATTAAATGCAAACAGAACATGTGACGATCTAGACGTCACCAACTACGCCAGGCAGTAACGAAATTTGCAAAATGTAAAATAAAGACACTTTTCACGAAATACTTTGTTTTAGAAAATATAGTTACCACTCATAAAAATGTTACTTATGTCAACATGTCATAGGATTATTATTATTTTTAATGAGCTAATAAATATTTTCAAAATTTGTTTTATTTCTGGTATCGATAGATCAAATCCACACCACACAAAACAGCACTGTCCAGAATCACCGCTCCATACTAGACACGGCTGCGTCTCACTGGGTCCTGGCAACCCTATGGCGGAACTGACAGTAGCCCGCTTAGCGATGAGAAAGTTAAGTCTGCAGAGGTACTGCTCTGTACAACGTACCCCAGGAAGGAGTGGCCAAGCCAGCACTGGAACCTGTGTGTCTGACCCCAAGCAAAGAGCAATTTGCTTTTAACTGCTACACTTTACTGAGTCCATGAACAGGTACCAAAACATGACAAGCTTTCCGTAAATAAGTGTTAAGCTGTCGGATTCTGAGAACAAATGACACTTTAAAAGCAATGAACAGAAATACATGACTTACTTTGTATATCTCTTCATACGTCTCCTCATCAATTTCTATTGTTGTCACAGTTTCTTCCACGTCTCCCAATATCATGTTCAAATGCTGGTCATAAGCCTAAAGCGGGAGGGGAGGGGACCAAGAAATTCACTAGGCAAATTAGGAAATGATGACTAGGGATTACAATATGCAATGGTTCAATTATAAGCAACATGCAATAATCATACCACAAATTTTTATGCGCAAATAAAGTATAGTCCTGCCGTGCAAATACACTGTTTCTTCGCAGATCATTTCCAATGATAACTTAATTGACCTGATACAAATACAGAACCCTTTATGGTGAAAAATGAGTTTACTCAAAATGATTTGAAGTTATTTTTAAAGTGTCCACCCTATTTGTTATACAAGGCAGTCTCATAAATATTTATAATATTTAATCATGGGGAAAAAAGCTAGTTCATCACTTTTCAGTGTATTTCTTTCAATTCGATCTTTAACAGCATGAGAAGATACAGTAAAGGAAATAAAATTCTTAACTGCTAAGATGATGGCACTGCAGGCTCCTAAGGGCACAAGGTACTGTCCTTCAACCCTTCCTGTCCTGAACTAACCACCAAAAGAAGTAAGCAGAGCAGCACCCTGCACTTCATGACCCAGCCAGAACTGACTGCTTGGCACCTGTGTGCTCAAACAATAAACACAGCAGCTCAGATATTCAGGGATGTCCTCAATCCAAGCTCCAAAGCCCCTGTATTTTACTAAAAGGTGAACCTCCAGAGGGGGAGAGGGGCTTGTTCAGAACCCACTCATGCACTGCTAACCAGTGTTAAATGGTCCACCAGCTCACATCAAAATAAAAGCAGCCCATCAGCCACACGGGAACTGCTCGGCAGAGCACATGAACAAGGGTGAAAATCCACAGATGAGACCAGAAAACAAACAAACAAAAGGCTGGGGCACTCACAGAGAGGCAACGAGTCTCTCAGGGAGCAGGAGATACCACCAAGAGCTAAGACAACACGTCTGTCCCAGCGTGTCTGTCTGTGGCCACTGGTCCGTGTAGTTAAGCTCAGTTCTGGCTTTCTCTGCAAAGCTGCCACTGTTCCATCTCCTGGGGTTCTTCTGCCTTTCTGAATTTTAAGACCACTGTCCCCCAGGTCCCTATTTCCTTTCAAAGCACAGAAGGTTCTTTACTTTTAGGTTTTAGTTGGAATTGTAGCACTTAAGAGAGGGCTGAGGTCAGACTGCCTAGGCTCCTGTGCTGGCTCTTTAACTGGCTGTGTTATCTTCAGCAAGTGACTTCACCTCTCTGAGCCTGAGCTTCTTCAAATGCAAAACAGGGATAATTAGTATCAGCCAGCACAGGGATGACATAAAGGTTAAATGAAATATTACATGCAAAACATTGAAAATAATAGTGCCTGGCATATAATTAATGCTCAATAAAAATTAGCTATTTTTAATCACTTCAGGGTAGAATGGCAGTAGTAGAAACAAGGCACTCAGGAAAGTAACAAGTTATCAAAAAGAGGCAAAACCTTTAGTATACCCTCTTTATGAAGAAAAGGAACCACTTCAAGGGACTGATCCTATAGAATATTTGCAGATATACACAAAGGAAAATGTATAAAAATGCATATTGTAGCATTACTTACAGTAGCAAGAGATGGAGAACAATCTAAATATCACTACTACCATATAGATTTCTACATAATCATTTAAAAAGATTTATATGTACCCATGATCAATGATTTCCAAGAAAGATTAAGTGAAAAAGATGCTCCCAAAATGCATAGCAAGATCCCATTTATTTTTCAGAAGTGATGTATATAGTGCAAATATATACACACAGACACATAATCATGTATATGTGTGTAAATATACAGAAAAGAGCTGAGAGATTACAGACCCAATGGAAGAAATGGATTTCACCTTTTACTCCATGTATTTCTGTGCTGTCTAAAATTTTTCACAACAGAACACAAATTTATATATATGTCAACAATTCAAAGAACTTAAGAATGGAGAACAAATAAATATCATTTACAAATAAACAGAAAGGAAAAAGTGAAAGAAATAAAAATGTTCTTTAACAAACAAATCATTTGTAAAGAGAAAAAAATGTTAAAAATATGAATAAAACACAGCTGTATTTGGCTTTTAGAAATACGGGTGACTTTCCACCTCTCTCTTGTCTACATTCAAAACACTCTTCATGGAGGACAGTTTTTTACATTTCAAAGCAGGGAGGAGGGGTAAGGAGGGAAGGCAAAGAAACATCTGATTTCAAGGTGATTTAACAAACATACTCACGTGCAACCTGCCTCGAAGCTCTCTGTCGTTTCTCATTTTCACATAGATTCGCTCATCTAGGCTGAGCCTGATGAGATCCAGGGGCTCTTCTACGGTGTTGGTAGTTTGTTGCTGATAAGAGAAACAGGCTTAGTAATAACAGCACTAGAGAGCGAAGTGTTTGAACCATCAGTACCCTGTGTGACTGTGGGCGAGTTACTTAACCTCTCCATGCCCCAGTCTCCTAAT